AAGTTTCTTTTCTGCCAGTAGTTTCTTTCGTTGATCGACGTCAGTTACAGTCAAGCAATCCTTCGAGTTGTGGGTTTCAGCATCACAATAAACGCATGCTCGTTTACGACGATCACCGTCCTTTGCATAATAAAATCCAGACTTACGTTGTTTCTTGGTATTCCCGCTTTCATCAACTGGATTAATGTCTCTCCATTTCTTTAGCTCCACGATAAGGCGTGTAAGGTCCCAATCTTGCCAGCCCTCATTTCCTCTCACCAGATCTACTTTAATTACTTTGAGTTTCTCCAGTACACTCCTTGTCATACCGCTTACTTTGTCCAACTTGCCCAGAGTTTCCAGCGCTTGCGTGTTGTATAACAGGCTCTTGTAAAAATCATTCACTTTGGCAGTCTGTAATAACAGGTAATCCCATTATGTTTTGAACGTGAGAGTTCACTATCTCGCTTGTTTTCCCGTATTCATTTTTAAGTATGTTTTTCGCTCTTTGATATCCTTCTGAGGTAAAAGGTAATCCTTCTATTTCTGCTCTAACTTTCGGCTCTAACCATTCTTTCAAAAACGCAAATTTGGTCACCGAAGGCACGTCAGATTTATCGATTTCTGCCTCGAATGTATTCCAAAACGGGAGCCAATTTTCAAAATTTCCATTAAATTTTGTCACGGGTAATTTGGGTAATTTAATAGACGTTGATTTTTCTTGTTCTTTCGCTGATGTCTCGATTGATTTCTGATATTCCAATTGTTTATTTAACAGTTCAGTTTTGTGCTTCAATTCCCGCTTTCGTTCTTCATCCTTCGCTGCTTGTTCTAGCTCGAACTTTTGTTTCTCGAATTCAAGTTGTTTTTGTCTTTTGATATCTATGGCAACGCGTTCGGTTTCTTCGGCTGCTGCTCTCTCTGTTTCTTTAATCTCATTCAAACGCTCTCGTATTTCACTTACTTTGTTATCTGCTTCGCTAATTCTCGACTCGATTCCTCAGCCCAGTTTTGTATATTTTCCTCAGAATCGTTGTCGGCAAATTTGATCTCCTCTATTTCCTCCTTTAAGGCATATATTGCTTGAATTCGGTTCGTTATTGAACTAATTTGTCGCGTTAAAACCTCGGTTTTAGTAGAATCAATAACTTCGTCAGACTTTTTGATCGCAAAGTTCAATCTTTTTATTTTCCCAGTTAATTCCAGTAGCTTTTTGTCAACAATCTTAGACATATTCGATATAATATTTCACGGTCACGCTCGTCACAAATCACAACAAAATCTCGATATAAATGCTTTGGATTGTACCAAAACACAGCTCAAATCGCGTCGGTAGGTGCCACTATGTTGGGGATTGCCTCCAAGTATCGCCCAAAATAAATCACAACAAAACACAGTATAATATAATTACAAAATCACAAGTTTCACAGTTTCACAGCCACATGTTTTTAAGTTCTCTCCTGGAAAAAACAACAACCACCGGTATAATCCGGAACTTTCAGAAGTGTTTAAAGTTTGGACTCGCGCGTCCCACGCGTGAACATAAATACTAATTCTAGATTACGACAGTTTCCGACAAGTGGTATTTTGAGGCATAATAACATTCTTAACAAGACGCCTGCTCAGGCGTTCGCACTGGCCTCCCGGTTGGTAAAATACCATCGCAATCAACCTTTCGCCGATGTCAGTACTGTGGAGGTAAAATGGCCCTGGGTACGAGGTTGCATCACAATACTCTAAAAAATAATTTGAAACATGTAGATGTTCTTCACTTCTTGACGGCCGTCACTTCATGATCACAAACATTCAGAGGACGGCACAATAAAAATCCATACAAAACCAATAGAGTTCAGCGATATCATATCGAAAAACACAGAAAAGTTCAAGCGCATGCGTAATGAAATATAATAAAATACGTCGCACAATTACAGCGTCTACGATTTGTAATGCCCATTTTCCACTCCGTTATTTCGCCGCCGCTGGCGAAATATTTTGACAAAGAAATAATTTTTTTACATTCATTCGCCGCTGAAGAAATTTGTTCTCCTGCTACAGTTACTTAAAATTTTCAACTTCTGTTTGACCTTTCGTTGACGGCGCGAAAGAACAACAAATGAACTTTTTCGGTGGCGAAATTTTTCGCCAGCGGCGGCGAAATACGTGAGTGGAAAACGGGCTTAACGTAGTTAAACACGAAAGTCGTTCTGATTATAATTGTGTAGAATTGGTCCTAATAATCGTCATGAGCATGTTTTAGCTAAATAGCGCAATCCTGAGCCCACGATACCGCAATGGAAAGTCACACTTGCGACAACTAAAAAAAACCCACGAAAAAGACAGCTTTTTCAAGCAAGGGCAAATTACGACACTGGCTGCGGCCAGTGTAATTACATATACAGTTGCAGTCAATCTAGACCTGATTGTATTTGCTTGTTGCTAAAGGAGTGCGATGATTGTCTGCGTTGCGGAGGCTACGTGATTACATCTCTGCAACTTTGTGTTTTGCCATGTTTTTGTAGAAAGTGGAACTGAAAGAAGGTTCAGAAACTTTCAAGAACTGGAAATCACCTTCATCACAAGTGTACATGCAATATTTTATGTTTAATTTAACAAATCCAAGTGATGTCCAGAATGGTAGTAAACCGTCAGTTAATCAACTTGGACCATATTCATACAGGTTTGTCATACAATATTTTGGAATTCCGCGCAAAATTACCCCAACATCGCGGAATTGTGTCAAATATTTGAACTTAAAAGGTTGTTCTTTTCAAATTTTCCTTTTCTTGGTATATTTTTCCTTACTCACTGATATTTCTTCCGTGTATTCCCTGCGTTATTTGAAGTGGATTTCTAGAAATAGCGTATAAATGATCTGCATTTTTAGTAATTTCTTTAATAATTATTTACAATTCTGTTTGATAGTCTGTATATAGCATATTCTTGGGTTTCACTACGGCATTGTGCAGTCAATCTGACGGGGGTCAACCTCAAATGTATTGAATGATGCTTATGCTGTACTGGAGTGAGAAAAAGATACGAAATTTCACGCATTTGCCACCAAACACAAGGCTAATACATAAAACGAACAATCGACTCACTCTGATAACTGGGTTTTGTTTTAGAGTTGACCCCCCGTCACTTTTGTGACGTCATATGAAACCCAAGAATAGAAGTGTATCCATTAAAAAGGATAATTCAGGCAAAAATTGTTTTATTTTCGAACGTACCTCTAACGTAATGGAATGTCCAATTATTCACAAAGTTTCCAAGATGTATTTATAAATATCTGAAGTGTGACGTGTGCATCATATATAGGAGAATTCCCAGAGATTATTGAAAATTAGTGTGGTTACATCAAGGGGCGATAATTCGAGATTTTTCGTTGTTCCTCATTGGTACTTTACTCCAATGATTGCTGCCGCGTATACTAAAGCTAACCGTAAATAGGTTCAAGGTGCATACGTACCTATAAGGTGTATACATATAAAGCACATGCAGTTTAAAAGGTAACCTGAAAATACAAGTTAGACAAGAGGGAGGAATCCCATCCTGTCCCATCAGACCAATCATGTTTCATGTCGGAGATGTCAGATATACGGAGTGAATAAGTTTGCTGGTCATGGTACAATCGGAACCTCTCTGTTGATGTACATGCAGTATAAGTATCAACCTGTTACATACTCAACAAGATATTTTTATTTCTTTAGAGAAATTCGGCATAATGTTCCACGTTACTTCAACCACAGTATTGATACTGTAGCTTACTACTCGGAAAAAGCTTATGTGTTTGATCGTGCTACCTCGTGTGCTGACTGTGATCCTACGGTTGATAAAGTTTATACCATTAATATTCTTTTACTGGTATGTGAACTTCACAACTCTTCAGTTATTCCTTAGTTAGTACTATGATAACATATCATGCAACTGCCTCGTCTACAAACGTCTGTCAGTAATGAACTACAGCAAATAAGCTAGCTGAAGGGATTTGGATGCGAGGCAACGCGCAAGGGGCGTGTTTAGAAATCCACCACTAATGCAAAACCTATAGTCAAGTGCGTTGCTCCAGCGACACATTACTATTAGTTGGCTATAGCTGGGCTTGGTGGAATATTTCATCTGATGCCATTTTTAGTGCAAAGTTACTTGTTACTTGTTGTTATGGGAGGAAATTCAATCGAGTGACTGATCAATGGATGGATGTAGTAAACAATCCGGGGGGAGCTTGCAAATGATATTTTCTGTTACGTTTTCTAGAGCTTCGCGATGTTTGGCTAACTAATTGTTTATGACTGCATGTTTATACAGTAGATTATAGTGTAGTACATGTTCTTACTTATTTTATTCAATATTTAGAGAAGCTATAACCAAATTACTATCAAGGATATTTGTTTGAAATTTTCCCGATCCGGCCGATCGCTGATTTTGAAATTGTGTTTTATATCTGTTTAAAACTTTATATGTGTTTTATAGTCGAATATGCCAACAGCTACAATACTATTTAATATTTTTCATATGATTTTAGAGAACTGCATGTGCATTGTGTAGTAGGAAATAAGTAAGCATTTCACTAGTCAATTAAAATGTCATAACAATTACCTGTGGAACACATCCAACCGTTCACTGCAGTGTGATCATTCGAAAAATTTATTCTCATTAGCAAGTAAGGAAGGTTTTGGCTGGACGATATGAAAGAACAGGCCCTAGTGGACATTATAACATAATAAAACTCTGACCTTTTTATTTAAACACAATATCAGAATTCCGGCACTCGTCAATGTTTCAATCCTTTATTATTTTCTCTACTGTTTATTCAAAGCGCGCGTTAGCCCGCAAATCGCAGGCTTCAACACTGAGCTATACAGTATTTCATATGTAATGCAAATACATAACTTCAATAAGACCCGCGATGGGCTCCTGTGCCATCAGCAAGCTTCAATACGTCGCTTTCCGTCTGCCTAAACTTTTCCTGCAATGCCCACTCTATTCTTTTATAATTTCTATGTTCCACCCATAGATACCACATTAGACTTCGCTAATGCTTTCATTTCCCCGTGTGGAATTCGGGGATAAGAATAAAATTGAACAAGCAATCAAATATTCAAATAATGTGGAAAAAAATTCTCTTTCCCGCTATCACATGCAGTATCAACTAGTTTATATTTATTCAGCCTGCTAATCCAAGAAACTACCATAGCCACGCAATGGTGCGGTGGTGCGCAAATGGCCACCACCCGTTGCTTGCCTCGCCCCCCTGAAAAAACATGACTGGATCCACCACGGTAAGAAATTTATGTGTATCCGGTTCTTTTGTTTAGAAAATATCCCAGTTGCTTGGAAAGGGGCTGAATTTATTACCACCACCCTATCGTCCAATTATTCAACCGATGATAAACTCGTTTCTTAAGCACGAAAAAGTGTTTCCTGCAAGATCAGTACATGAGTTGCTCTGGGGTTATGAGGATTATATTTTGCTCTTTATTGATAATTTCACTATGGCGCTTAACGAACAGCTTTACGAGAAAGGATTTAAATTTAACGTCTCTCTAATAAACCCAGTTGTCAAGCTGCAGGTATTGTAATCCATATATTTTTATAGACATCCTCATCCAAGGTCTTTTCCTTCATGAAACCATTTTGCTACCCGTGTGTTACACTGGTCGTCTTGTACCTACAACTTTACAACAATGTGTTGAACAATGTACAGAATGGACCTATTACCTAATAAACAAAATTTTGATCTAGGCCAGTCCAGACAAAAATTTCATGACAGCTTGAAAGAGCATCACAAAATTAGTAATATTCCGAAGTTTCGTTGGGAAATGTCATAAAACGCGTATAATATAGCCCTGCGAAGTTTGCCGTTTTTCAGTCATTTTGTATTACGCACGGGAAATTGATGCCTTTTTTCAGAAAGCGGTATCAATTTCCCGTGCGTAATACAAAATGACTGAAAAACGGCAAACTTCGCAGGGCTATATTATACGCACTTTACAACATTTCGCAACAAAACTTTGGAAAATTACTAATTTTGTGATGCTCTTTCAAGCTGTGGTTGTTGAGATCAAAATTTTTGTTATTACAGTAGGCAATAGGTCCATTGACTTGCTGGATTATAATTTCGTCTCAGTTACATGCAAGGGCGTCGCTAGCCCTGTTTTAATGGCGGGGTGTAAGTGCAATTTTGCCGACTCAACTCCACCACTAATTTAATTAATATTTCTTTTCCTAAAAATGTTGGGGGGGGGGGCGTAGATATCTAAGAATTTCTATATACTGTTATGATTGCCTTCTCTGTAGCTTTTCTGCATGGATGTTATTTCTTATGATAGAGTTATATGCCGTGTAAATAAAATAGGTTTGTATATCAGTTTAGTAAAGCACGCTTGTAGCCACGATATTGGTAGAACTCGTTAAGTTTTCAATAAAATGTATTTAAAATAATGGTTTACAAAAAAATAGTAAGAAAATATGATATTAACTGTTCTTTTCGAAATAATCGCCCGATCAAAATCCTCGATAAAACAACAACAAAGTAAAATTCCCCAGAACCCGGTCAAACCGGTTTTTCACGAGGACAGTTCCGCGCGTGACGACGGCCACGCGAATCTCTCGCACTATTCTAGCGTCTTCTGAACATTCCCCCTCCCCGCACTAAGGCGACGAGGTGCGAACAACTAAAAAATGTCAACTATTTATAGTTCAATGTCGTTAACACGTTCTAAAGCGGAATCAATTTATGAATTGGTCTCACTATCGTTTTGCTTCCACATTGTACTTTGGCCACTCTCGTATGGCCGTCTCGTCCAGGATAGGTTTCCACGATTCTTCCGAGTGGCCATCGCCCTCGCGGTAGATCCTTTTGGAGCGCCAAGACCACATCGCCTTTCTTCAATTCTTTCACGACTTGGTTCCATTTTGATCTGGGTGTTAACATTGGCAAGAACTCTTTTAACCATCTGTCCCACACTCGGCAGATCAGCTCCTGCACTTTCCTCCATCGCTTGCGAGGGTTGAACTGCGTAGTATCCACATTTTCTGGCGCGAAGTTTCCCCCCATTTGACCGTGAATGAAATGGTTGGGCGTTAATGGAACATCATCTCTAGGGTCCGCGGATTGGTATGTCAGGGGTCTTGAATTTAGTAGGCCTTCTACCCCGGTACATATCGTCACCAGCTCTTCATCCGTCACATCACTGTTACCCATAACTGCATACACGGCTTTTTTCGCAGCCTTCACCATGATCTCAAAGACGCCCCCAAAATGTGGAGCTGCTGGAGGATTAAAGTTCCATTTGACACTTACGTTGGTTGCGTTTCTCTTGATTTTGTCCTTGTCAAGTTGGCACACAAGTTCTTTCAGCTCGTTGACGGCGCCCACGAAATTGGTACCGTTATCACTCAGCATTTCTTTCGGAATACCCCGTCTGCTTGTAAATCTAGTAAATGCGTTAAGGAAGCTATCTGTGTCCAGGCCCCACGCGACTTCGAGATGTACCGCTCGCGTGGACATGCAAGTAAACACACATAACCAACGCTTGTTCCTCGTTTTGCCTCGTCCTTGTATCGTCTGGAAAGGCCCAGCATAATCAACTGCCGCTTGGTCATGCGCGATAGGTGAGGCGAAGTCGGCTCGGCGGAAGAGGTCCCATAATTTGCGCACCGGCTTTGTTCTTTTTCTTCTTACACGTGTTGCATTCGTTCTCCCATTCCCGGATTTCCTCCCTCGCTGCTGGGATCCAATATCGTTGGTTTAACTGTGATAGGACGAAGTTTGTACCGGCAGTGTGATTCGATAGCTCGTGGAAATGTTTGACTATCAGTTTAGTCACCCAGTGTCCCCTTGGCAAGATTATCGGGAATCTGACGTCGTACGGGAGGAATTCCGCAAATCGTAGTCGACTGTCCGAGCGAATCAGTCCTTGTTCATCCAGCCGAGGATTTAGTTTCAGCAACGTACTCTTGGGTGGCATTTTTTTTCTGGTCTTCAGGGCTTTGTACTCGTCTCTAAACGCGTCTTGTTGTGCACGACAAATGATACTTTCTTCCGCGTCACATAACTCCTCGGGAAGCAGCTTCTGGTCGCTCACACGCGTCTCCGAATTTCGCGTGTTATGGATAAATCTTCTAACTCTCCCGAGCACGCGTACCAATCGTGTCCAGTTGGAATACCGTTCAGGATCAAGTCTCCAGATCGTTGACTTCTTGTTTGCCTTCCTGTCTTCGACTGGGCGTTGGTAATGGCAAACTGTCGCTGTCGCAACCGTTTCATTCTTGGTCGCTCTGCTGGTGGGTTTTGCTTCGGGTAGTTCATTAGGACGGGTTCCAATTTGCATCTTTGGCCAGCCCGATTTGTCCTCTAGCAACCACTTTGGTCCATTCCACCATAAACAATGATCTGATAATTCTGAGGGGGTTGCTCCTCTTGTGCAAAGGTCCGCCGGATTTTCGTCGGTACGCACGTGTTGCCATTGCGCTGGCTCGGTCGACATTTGTATTTCCCCAATGCGGTTTGCGATGAATGACCGAAAATCTCGTCCGTGGCCTCTAATCCACCACAAAACATCTGTGCTGTCCGAGTAAAACGTCACCATACTCATCGGTATTTCAAGAATCGGAATGAGACGCTGTGTTAATCGCAAACCTAGTATAGCGCCCATCAGCTCTAGCCTTGGAACCGTCATTGGCTTCAATGGTGCAACCTTTGTTTTGGACGCGATCATCCGACAGCTAGTGGTGATATCTTCGTATTCACACTTTAAGTAGACGACTGCTCCATAAGCCTTAAGGGAAGCGTCGACGAATGTGATCACAGATTGATTCAGGACTGTCTTAGCTTCGCGTAAACACCTTGGTACACGCACGTTCTCCAGGTCTAACAGCTGTCGAAACCACATCTCGATCTTATCGGCAACTTCGTCTGCGATGACGTCGTCCCAGTCATATCCCCTTGACCACAGTTCCTGTAGAAGGATTTTTGCTATAACCACAAATGGACTGATCAAACCAAGCGGATTAAAAACTGTTGCAATTGTCTTCAATACGTTCCGCTTAGTCAGCAACACTTCTGATGAACACCCAGGTGAAGATATTGTTAACAGGTCGTCGCTGCTATGCCAGGAGAGCCCAAGAGTTTTGACGGCTGAAGTTGGGCTGTCACTTATCGATAATTCAGTTGCTCGCTCTTCCTTTGGTGTTGATGCGATGACCGCCGGGGAATTTGAGATCCACTTCCGCGCTTGCATACCGGCTAAATTCCAAAGATCTCTCAGTTGCTGGTATAACTCAATGCCCTCCTCGTCCGTCTCCACACTATCGATAGAGTCGTCCATATACGTGGACTTTAGCACGGTCTCAGCAGCCATAGGGTACGTCTCTTGATGTCTTCTAGCGTTTTCTTGGGCCACGAATTGCGATTCCATCGGCGCAGAGTTTTTTCCAAACACTACACGATTGAATTCGTAGACGTCTGGTTCTCGGTTACTGTCCAGGTCACGCCACAACAGCCGAAACATCGGACGATCGCACTCTTCGATCTCAACTTGAAGGTACATTTCTCTAACATCGCACGCCACCGCCACAGGTTTGCGACGAAAACGAATAAGTACATCAATCAATTCCTTTTGTAGCTTAGGTCCCGCGTAGATGACATCGTTTAACGCGACTCCGTTACACTTCGCTGAACAGTCAAAAACAATGCGCACTTTCGTGGTGGTCTTGTCCATCCTTACGACAGGAAAGTGTGGAAGGTACCACACTTCGGATGGAAGCTCTTCCTCACTCTTGACACGGCGCAGGTACCCTTTTTCAATGTACGCTTCGATTGTT